TGTTTTTTTTTAAAATTCCGATAAATTTTAAAATCACTAAATAAAAAAATTTAACAGTTGTTATGAATCCCATACAAACACTAACGCTTATTAATAAAATTTACTATTTATTTTCACATACATATTATATGCAAATAAAAAAATAAATAATTAAAAAATACGTTAGTATATGTGAGGCATACTCCAAATGATTGAATCATGACAGCACGAGCTTCCAAATATTTAATTTCATGAATATTATACTCGAGATTTGCAATTTTCTAGATATTTAAAATAAGATAATTGTCTTTGTTTTAGAACTTATAGAAACAGGATTCAACGAAAATTGAACAAATGAAAATTACCGAATAATCGTTTTGGTGCTATGAACAATCATTATACTCATGAAGTGCCCGAAGTGTTAATTGCCAATCAGGCTGATTACCCCTCCTTCCTTTTTTACAAATAGCGTTTCAGGTTCTTAAATCACAGATAAAATTTATTTTGCCTATTTTGAAGCCATTATTAAGTTATAAACAACTATACTTTTTATCTTGAATAAGCCATTAAATTTAATTCATTCTGCAGATAAAGAGCATTGTTAGCTAAACAACTTTTATTTTATTTAAATTTTAATTTTTTGTTGGCTTTTTTAATTTAAGACTTTTTTCCTTAATTGAAAACTTTCATATTTACGTTTTAAAAGTCTTAATTTAAAAAACCAAATTCTAAAATTAGAATATAAATTCTACTTTTTGAGTAATAAATTCATAAATATTTCTTATAATGACAATTTACTAGCTGCATTATAAATTTAACGAAACACTGTTTGAAATTAATTTTTTTATATATGTTAAACGTGATTTTCTTCATTGGTATTAGTAATCGCACATTGGGCGAAATTCCTGCGATTCTTTGTAAATTACTTTGTTCTAACTTAACTTTTCTATAATTTATATAGTATAGCAAAATAAGCTAATATATTATAACCAATGTATATAACCAATTACATATTATAACCAATATATATATAACCAATTATATATTATAACCAAAAAAACTAGCCGTATTAAAAAAATCAGCGCTTAATTTGATAATAACACTTCGGGTCCTAGTCAATATAATAGAGAAAAGCCACATTTGCAATCCACTTTATCATTTTTAATCTTGGTTCGAATAATAATGCTGATTTTGGTTCTTTAATTCAGTTGAATGCTCTTAACAACTTTTATTTGTGCTACCGATTTTATTTTCATATATGCTTGAAGAAACTACATAGAAACAACTTTAGCAATATCATCTACAAATTATTATCAAAGTAACTTGCTATAGGAATAAAGAGTCATACATATTTTGACTACATATGAGCCTTTCGCAAATGAGTTACACTACTTCACGACAAATAATCGAATCAAGTCAAGTAATCAAGCTTAGCTGTGTATTTCTTTTCAGAAATATATTAGTAAAAAATTTCATACCATAAATATTATCTCAATTCACAGTTTTAAATCACATTTTTAGATTACCAATTGATGTAACGATTCTATAGACTTTTCTCTTTCTGCAGAATATGCTAAAAACTAAACACAATAGGCTGTTGCGATTAAAATAATAATAAAATGTTGAAAAATATTTTTAGAAATTATCTTATTTAATAAATGCATTTTATAGCTGTAAGATCCTTATAAAATGCAGATTCAAAATAAAGAGTAAAAAATTACCTTCTCAGATTCTTTTTAACATATTCCCTTTGAACGGGTAGTTAAACAAAACATAAATACACTAGACAAAAACTGTTTTCAGTGTGAGAAAAAATGTTTTATTATCAAATGTTACTCCACGAAACATTTATTTTTATCATTATTTCTATCCCATATTACTTACAAGATAGCAGTTTCCACTATTCAGTTCAGAAAGTTTTCACTCTCTTTCTGATTTTCCGGCTCGTTTAAAATTTAAAAAAAAAAAAAAAAGGAAAAAGTATTCATCATTTAACAAAAAATAACAATTTGAATCAATAAATATAACTATTTTTGTTTTATTTTTAACTAAATTTTCAAAAGCTATTAACTAATTATAGTAAGTAATTAATTAACTAATTAAGTAAAATTATGTAATTAATTAATTAACTAATTAAGTAAAATTATGTAATTAAATAATTAACTAATATTAATTAACTAATTAATAAATTATATTAATTTAACTTAATATAAATTATTCGAACATAATATATTCAGTTTAAAGAACAAAATTATCAATTAGATTCTTTTTCTTTTTTCAAACCAAAGAGTTGGAAATAAATACGAATTCAAAAAGGCAAGGATAAAATGAAAATATTTTAAGTGAAAAAAACTGACAAATCCCAAAATCCCCATTCCCAAAAAACTGACAAATTAATGAAATGCATTTCCGCATTTTTTTAAATAATTTAGAATCTTTCTACTTATGAAGATTTTTGATCGTTTTGATGTTTTTCCTAACGAAAAACTTTCCCCTTGTGTAAAATATAGATATTCGAATAATTTAAAAACTGTCGTATTCCTTGAAAACAAATGTCTAAATCAATGACCAAATCAATCAATTAAAAAAACTATTTCATGCAACACTAGTTCTTAACCTAAACACAAAACGCAGGTGCTCTTATATACAACATGATGCATATTTAAAACGTTCTGCATGCATCTGCACAAGCCAAACAATGCACATCTTTTTTTAAAAAATTTAAAAAAAAAAAAAACAATTATTGTATCAATTTTCATTTCAATCAAATTAGCCAATCATTCTAACAGTAGTAGTACTTTATTTACGTTGCACTAGAGCTGAACAATGGGCTATTGGCGACGGTCTAGGAAACAACCCGGTGGATGATCCAAAGACATGCCATCACAATTTTGATCCTCTACATAGGGGATGGCTTCCCCTCTTTGGTAGCCCGATGACCTGCGCCCGACAATCATAATTACAAATGTGTATAGAAAGTAATATAAACTTTTGATTAACAGAAAAAGTATATGAAAATTAATTGTTTGAAAAATCTTATCAATAAACCATTCAAAAAAGGAACGCTATTATCTGCACGTTCATTGCATCGTGGTATAAATCATTCATGAAAAATTCTGCTCCATGTTCTATATGAAGATAAGTGTAGCCTGTTGTACTTGTCCTACCAACTGGGGTAAATGTTTCTACACAACATGATCTTTTAATTATTATGCACACCTCTGCACTTATCAAATAATGTAGTTCATAAAGTCTTATCTTGCTTCGCGTTCTTTGTGCAGGAAAATGAAGTCTGTTATGCCATTTTTAATATAGAGTGCGAAAAAAAGTAAATATATGTATAAAATAAATAAATGGATCACGCTGAATAATTTTAGATCTAATGAAAAGATCTTCACGTTTTAAGACACAATCTTAATGCTACGAATGGGTGATCTCAAATATGTTAATTAATAAGTGTAGGCGATCTAAAAATTAAGTGCAAAAATATAAAATTTGAGGTGTGAAATCAGTCGAATAGTTCTTGAGAAATCAATTTTTTTTTTTTTTTAAAAAAAGTAGTATTTCGACATGCAAAATTAAATTTTTTAAAATGATGTAAAAAATTTCATACATTACAATTCGAAATTGTTCANTTTTTTTTAAAAAAAGTAGTATTTCGACATGCAAAATAAAAATTTTTAAAATGATGTAAAAAATTTCATACATTACAATTCGAAATTGTTCAACTATAATTAAATAAAAAGTATGAAAAATAATAAGTATTTACTAAAAGTTATTTTTAGCAAGGGACTATCTTTATAAAAACGAGTTTTGTAATTGAGAGAAAAAATTTTCCAATTCGTTTAAAAAGTTCTCGAGATGCTGCGAAATACGCAAAAATTAAAATTAATATTTAGGGATCCAAACTTTGAACCGCACTCCTGGCCAAACTATTGTGCCCGTATTTCCCAGATTGTGGCTACCCCCTATATTTTGGGGGTCAGAAATCTGAATCTGTCGGGAAAAAAGGCATGTTTATTCCGAAAAATTGCGTTTTTACGTCTGATTTCGTAACTTAAAATATCATATACACTAATTAATTAGCATATTTAAGGTCTCCCCCTGAACCATTGAGAGTGAGTGAAGATCCTAGAACGTGAAGATCCAATCATTAAATCAAAAATTATGCAGAAGAAAAAAAAAGTGGTAATCTAGAGAAACTGAGCCAGGGCTATATACAGATAATTTTGAAATATATTATAAAATACCTCGCGAAACTTAAAATCACTCTTTATTTTAGTCTTCGTAAAGTTTTACAACTGGCAAAATAATCTCTATTTGTTCCCATATGTAACTAAATATTTATATTCTATTAATATTAAAAATTCATAACTAATAAAAAAAAAGTAATTCCAGTTTGTTCGCCAATGTATTTTAAAACATAAAGACAGAAAGAAAAAAAAAGATAACATAAGAGGACATAAAAGATCGTCTAAAATGATCACTTTAAAATAATCTATCACACTAAAAACTAATTTGTTTGAGAATGATGTCGGTTGCCGGTGGCTAACTAAAAAGTGAACACATTCCAGTTCAAATAGAGCAATAAACTGCTTTTTGGGGATTTCAATTTGTTTTTTATTCTTATTAATTTTTATCAAGATCATTAGATAGTTTTTATTCACTCATTTAAATTTTGATTTGAGCGCCCTCTAGTGAATATTTTCATTTTTCACAAAGATTCTAAAATTATGAATTCTGGGGAGCCATTACGGTTCACCCCACTTTTTGAAATCCCCTGAGAATTTAAATCCAATCTTTGTATTATTCCCAACCCATTTAGTGAGAATTTTATTAAAATTCCTGATCTTTTTTAACTAATTGTATTCCTGTGAAATATATGTCTTTTAACCTTTCAGCATTTATAACTTGATGTCATTTTCCTTCATAATTAAATAAAGCATTTTGTCCCGTTATATATCTTTTAAAACAAATATTTTTGAAATTTACAAGAAATTTAAATCCATTCTTTCTTCTAGTATTCATAGTGCTCAGTTACCACTGCTGTGGAAGAACGTGCCAACAGCCCCACTAAAGTAATCCTTTCTCTTTCTCCATTTATTGCACCTTAGTCTTGTCAGTTTCTGGTGAGTTACTCTCTTTCTTTATTTACCTTCACATCCCTCTATATTAAATGAAACTAACTCTTTCCTTTTGACAGCTTCTCTTTTAGATTAGTGTTTCCTCAACTCCTGGAAGACCTCCTATTCTCCCTCCTTGGTAAAGAGTCCAGCACCTGATTACTCGAATCTCCTGATGTCAATCCCGCTACCTGTATCTGGCAATAAGAATTCATCCCTAGGCTCCTGACAGGAAAATCCTTCTGTATCGACTAACGGACCCTTGGACAATCGAAACTTTTATTTACTATTTACGCTTATATATACATACATATATATATACTTCTATATATATATATACATGCAAAGAACCAAAAGCTATTTAAGCCTAAAAGAAACATATCAAGCCTGTTTTCAGGGTAAAATTGTAAAAAGCTAAAAAAAAAAAAATTGTATCTGTTAAACAGAGTTTTACAAAGTTGCTAGGAACTAAGTGCCTGCTGCCGAAGGTGGAAGTCAGTGTAGGCAACTCGATCCCTTTTTCAGCAACATATCTTCGCTCCCATTATCAGATTCAAATGTTAAAGTTTAATCGTTATCACTGTTTCCCTTCCCTTTCCAACCCATAATAAGAACGTGCCAAAAAATGTATACATTTCCTAAACGTTGTACCATCTTAGATTCATTTCCCACTATTTATCCCGTTTCGGACATTACTAAAATAAAAACAAATCAGCCTCTACGCTACTGGTATGTTTTACTTAAAATAGATTAGAAATTCGTGGGGAAATTGTTGGTTTGTAATTAGTTCTTGGTGTTCTAACGGGTGATCTCGGAAAAAGATCTCTGTTTCCAATCTTACTTTTTTGTGTGACTTATGTGACGTAATTGTTGTAAATATTTTGTTTTTCTAAAAGAGACCGCGGTAAAACATTTTTCCACCATTGTTATAAGCAAAGTATTCCGTACCGTTAGTTGAAGCCCGAAATGCAACTTTTGATCGAGAAACAGGTCCTAATTATTAAACATGTCCTAACATGAAGGAAAGAGTTGCTTACGCCCTAAGCTGATGAAGGAAAGATAAAGATCCAAGTACAAAAAGACAGGTGGAAGGAGAACCGGAGTTCTCCATTACATATCACATTTTTTGAGACATTGTATATGCACTATTTCTAGATGTAGTTGTTATTGTATATTATACAAGTGCATCAGCCGGGCACTAGGCCTCAAAGTTCCGTAGTGTTGTCGTACTGCATCAATAACCAGTAACATTATCAAAATTAAACTAAATGATTGAAATAATTTTGCGCCGCCAATATTTTTAACTTGATACAAAAATGGGATGGATCTCTAAAGTTCAAATTATGGGTTGTATGATGTACTTAATTTTCAATTTAGAGTGAGCTGTTTATAATGCAATAAGATTTTGTGTTCAAAATTTGAAAAGTGCAGTATAAGTCAAAGTATAACCTTTCGATATTTTTAGCATTAGTGTGACAAGTGTTGACTAACACTGCCCAAATATTTTATGTGCCAAAATAAGAATGAGAGATATAGTAAAGGATAGCTAATCTTCCAAGAGATTCTTTAATTATAATAGTGGGCAGCTCATATTTTTGAAATTTGTTTTTGTTTTAATCAAAATAGTCTTCCAAATGAAAAGTACTAAATTACAGTAACTCAAATGCCAAACTGATGAAACATATCACAGAAATAATTTTTTTCTCATTAGTGTCTATTTATTAAGAATTTTCTCTTTACTGCACTTAGATTCTGAAGGTTTTGTGGTAAAGCAGCCAGATAACGGGCGGGTGCCATCAGCTCTGTTAAGCACTGGTATTGACTGGGTATTTTATAAGTAATTTGTACGAGAGTACAGAAAATGGGACCAACTCATCTTTTCGTACTATTTTCTAAAAGAATCAATTCTCAGCCGGTAGAAGTAGCCTCGAAATTACTCTTTGTCAACAAAATCAGTACTGGGAAATTCTACCGTGGAAAAGTAAATTTGTGAATGGTCCCTTCAATATAAATTTCTTTCCTTTATTCTTACCTCCAGTGGCAAAGTGAACCGTTCAGAGGCCCTTATATAGAGCTCAATTAGATGCGAAGAGTTTTTGGCGCCCAATCGTTGCTTTTCGGTCTTTACAGCACCTGTGTTTGATGCTTCGTAGGTGTAGTTTACCATTATTCTGTAAGTGTACACCGGACAATCTTTTTAATCTCGAGCACTTCTTTCACAATTTCCTGGATTGATGACTCAATAATTAACGAGCTTATGAGGGTCAATATTTTCGGGGCTCACGAAACTTGTTTGTTTTGTTGATTGACGGCGAAAGTTCTTCCTGTGTTTCAAATTTTAAACTAGTGTGGTTTTACAAAGATAAAGCAATACATAGTGTTTTGAAAAATCGATGTGGTTTTACTTTACAGTTGTTTGTTGTATTGCGTGTCGTTGATTTTCTAGTATTTGACTGCGGCGGCGAGACAAAAATTGGATGCTCAGTTTTGTCAGCAAAGTTTGTTATTGCGACAAAGGAATTTATTTACACGCTTTGTAAAATAATATATATGAGTGTTATTGTGATTCAAAAGAAAACAGCTGAATATCTATGCAATTCTTTGGTCTCAGAGCTGTTTCTATGAGTTGAGGAGAAGATGTTTTATAGATATTTTAAATATGCCTCTTAAATTACATTTCATTTAATTGCAGCAGAGATTGGAGGAAATTACATATCAAACGTTATTTTATTGTTGATTTTCCATCCAATTAAAGCATATCAAAATAAATTCTATCTCCTCACATATCACAAGTCAAATGAATGTGAATAAAAAAAAAAGGAGGAGTCTTTTAAAACTGCTTCTTATATTCTCAATTATTTATATCAGATGGCTCCTCCTTAATCATATCAAGAGAGTTCATTTTCTTTGTTCATTTTTTTCTCTTTTTTGTCATGATATCATATTCCACGTTATAACATTTTTTACTCAACACTCTTGTGAACATGTTGTATTCTTTCTGTCTTGTGAAGCGGAGGAGATGAGTCAAATTGTTTCTGGTTAGCACAATTATTCTCTGGCGAGCACAAATATTCTACGTGTAACCTAAACAGTATTGCTGAATTTTTTTCATTGACTGTACAGGATTCTGTATGGTGGCTAATAATAAAACTGTTGTTTCTTTTTACGTGAATATTCATTCACACAAATTCACATGTTTCACCAAAATTATAAATGTATGTTAATTGTATGAATGTTTACAATAAAAGTACTTATAAGAGAATTCTAAGCATGTTTTCATTTCTTTCCGCACACTTTTGTACACGAAGATGGTAAAGCATATTTATTTACAATACAGGGAGAGTTTAAAGCTACACGTATAAAAGTTAAACGGCCTGAAATTGAATAATAACGCATTGAATTTCAAGTTCTACTCGTTATACAGCAGAAAAAATTATTCTGAATATATTTCTATAGTCATCAATGATATCGTACTCAGAGCTTTCATTTGCAAAGCAGTTGTTTTTCAAGGCTGCTACATAAATGTTATTTTGATCGAAAATAATTGAAAAATTTTGCAAAAAATATTCTGAGAAATAATTGAACGATAACTCGATTAGCTCCCCGTTTTTGGAAATGATAGTCCGAATCATTTTAAATTAAATTTATTAAGTTTTTTAAAGCATATTTTTTAATAACAAATAAATGAAAAAATCTTAAATAAAATTTAGAGGAGTTATCAGACAAGAACTCTAAGACTACATCCAGATATATTGTTTTCGGCATTTTTTAAACTTAAAAGACCTGACAACTTAAAACTTTCATTTTAGGTTTTTGATCAAGGAAGAAAATATAATTTTCAATTTTTTAACAATTTATAAATACCCATGCACCCCCTTTGAAATTTCAATACCATTTTTTAAGCTTTTAACTGGACATTTTAAATCGATCGGTGACAAACCAGGGGATTGAGCAGAACAAGGAAAGGTGGTATTACTGTCAAGGATGCAGTCCTGTGACACCCTTGTTGAGTGTTTCCGAGCATTACCCTGTTGAAAAATGATTCCCGTGAGTCCTGCCATGAATGAAAGCACATGGGGTAACAAAATGTCACAAACGTACTGTTGGGAGGCGCCTTCGGTCAATATAAAGGGTGATTATGTGAGGCCGGTGTGCCGCTGTATAGCTTAGGTACGGTTGACACCCACCATTTGGAGTGGAATTACGGTTGTTGAAATTGAACGGCAACTGAATGGAAGCAATCCAAATAACACTGAACATCTATTCAATATCTTATATCAGATAGATTTTTGGAGTTTTAGAGAAATAAAACATTAATTTTTAGTTTAATTTCAGATTTCAAAATATCATTTCATCATTTATTTCATAAAGAAAGTAAAGAAAAAAAATTTTTTTTTAAAAGGCTGGTAAAAATTTTATTATTTATTTGTGTTTTTAATTCTTTCGCAGTTTGGTTGGTAAACAATGTAAATAAATCATTTTCTTAAATGGCGTCAATGTTAAAAAATTGTAAATTCGAAGTTCATATTGTTTTAAAAATGGTCAAAATAAAGAATATGAATTACCATCTAACATCATACACCTTCTGAATCTAATTCCATTAAGAGAAAGCAACGTGTCATTATAATAACTCGTATTGCAGAGCCATAGTTAATAGAAATCATAGTTTGCCCTTACCATAGTGTTTTTAATCATCATCTTCGACTATTGAGATTTCGTTGAACATTTTATTTGCACTTGCTGCCTTGCTTTAATAAATCTTGTTTTGGGGAAAGTATGCTGTTTAAAGCTGTTTTTCGAAGCTTTGTCGCCAAGAGAAATAAAAAAGTCAGTTTTACCAGCCCAGTTTACCGTTTTATCAGTAAAGTCATAGCCTTGCACATGAAGCAATGCGATGATTTTAAACTATATATATAATCTTGCAGTGAAGAATTATCTGGGTTATAAAACAGACAAATAACTTAAATATTTTAAAAGTTTCTCTAGTTCCCACCTAGTTTATTATCAAAATTACTGCCTTATTCTCAGTTGTTGCCAATTTCTATGAGCCCAAGTAATGCAGAATTGGAGTAAGTTTTTAAAAATGAAACCACAAACACATTTCATTTTCACCAAACTGTAACTTTGTTCAATATTAACGTTTTGCACCATTTTCAAAATAAGCGTAGACATTGGTGGCTTTAGATAGGCTAAACTTGACCTAACAGTCATGAGAAACAATTGCAAACTCACAGCAGTTATAAAAATAGCATATTATTTGCAAAAAAAAACAACAAAACATTTCATATAACAAAGGAGCCTTCGAAAAACTGCCTTAAGGGGTTAAAGTGGTTTTTATTTCAATGCAGAACTCACAAAGCAAGCATCAGTATCATTAAAATGTAAATATTTTTTCTTTTTATAACTTCTGTCTGTCTAAAATTTAACTTCGAACTTGGAGTTCTTTTACACATAAGCACACACCACAAACAATATTTAAATGCAAATATTTTGTGAAATAATGTAAAGAACTTTTAGAATTTAATTTTCGTTAGAGCTGAAAATTGAAAACAAAAAAAAAAATACTATGATGTCTTGTATGCAAAATAAAATTTGTAACGGTCTTGAAACAACTTTTTATATGCAGTCAATATGCTACTTTTAAAACAACACTAACTCAAAGAAATTGAAAAATAAAAAGTATTTTTTAAATTAAGAAAAAATAACCTTCTTGCATTTTTATAGAAATAAATTATTATGACTCTAAACAAATATAAAACATTTTCTAGTATTTAAGAGCTAATATGAATTTAAGGAACATACTTAACTCAAACCAATTACCCAGTTTTAATTTCAGAGATCTATTAGATGTTGAATAATCCTGCACACCAGAAGTAAAAAATGTGAATTGAAAAAAAAAAAAAAAAAAAAAAAAAATTTAAAGAAAAAAAACTTTGAAACTTTAAACAAAATACTCGATTCAATAGACAAAATGAGGGAAATATGTTATCTTCAGTTTTAAGTATTTTTCCTGTAACTTTAAAAATTTATTGAGTATTATTTTATACTTGGTGCTTAATTGCTGAAAATGAAACAGTTCATAACATATTTTTTTTTAAAAAAATAAATAAAATAACGAAAATTTTGATGAGAAAAACAATTTAGACCCCTTAAGAATATCACAAAATACTTGGAGTATGACCTGTATCATTTAAAGCTTTTGTTCCAATATCTGGGTGCTCAGAAAGCTTTTGGCTATAAAATCAATGATTTTTATTAAAAGTTTTCTTATCAGTATGAAAAACAAAAGTGATATTTCTTATAACGTTTTTGTGAAGAATAAAGTATTAAAATCAAATTTTTAAAATTAAAGTTGGGGTAAGTACAAAAAAAAATTGCCTGCTTTCAATTACGTATGTATGAAATATAAAAGAAAAAAATCCTTTTCCGAAAAGTGCAAAACTATAAATGTAGTTTTAATGATTCTTAAGATAAAAAAGTCATTGTGTGCTAGAAATAATTGCGTCAGTTAGTCTTAAAAAGTTAAGACTAAGTAAGTGTATAGCACTTTTGAATTGAAAAAAAAAAACTGAACTTCGTATTTAATAAAATTAAATTACAATAGTTTTCTTTAATGTTTTTTGTGGATCCTAAATTGAATAAATTTAGTGTCTGAAAAATTATTTGTCTTTAAATATTTTCAACTGTGGCATGGCAATAGTATTTTAAAAGTATTTATATAGCAAGTATTTTTAAACTTTTGCAACCCTAACTAGTTTAACCACTAACAATTCTAAACACTAAATAGCTTTATTATTTTTTCTAATGATATTTACTTGTTTACAAATCAGTGTTTTACAGAAATTATTTTCATATATTAAATTGTTACTTAAGCTAATATTGATTGCTCAAAAGACTGAGTACTTTTTAAGTATTTTAAAGTAACGAGACAGGGAAAAAACGTTTTTAAAAATACTAATTAAAACGTAATTGCCCTATTTGATAATATTTTTAGAGATATTTACAATATCAGATATACTTGAAACTGATACTCAAATGATGTACATTAATAATTTTATGCATATATCTAATGCATATTTAATATTTTACAAAGATGTTCACTATTGTAAAACTATTTTATATGTTTGAGAACATTTCAAACTATTGTCTGATTTATATTGAATGTTAATGGCAGAACTACAAGTGTTACCAGGACCTAATCTAGAAATCCGGGGGCTGTAAGCACAGGACTGCTAAGGGCATCCACTAGTCGTAATTTGTTTTACAAAATGATTTCAAATTATTCATAACATTAAATTAATCTAAGTTAGTAAATATGAGCTTATGCTTCTTTAAATTTTTGTTAACTCATAATTCTAATAACAATTATTCTTAAAGAAAAACAAACAAAAAATACTTCTAACATTTGAATCGGTGAGAGCAGAAACCACTTCAGGCAAAAAAATCCGAAAACTCGTTTTCAATGAAAATAAGCGTAGAAAGGCAAGATGCGTGTTGGGTGCAAAAACTACGTTAGTCTGTTGAGTAGTTCCGTAAATACAGGACGTTTGTTTCGAGTGTTGAGTGCAGAAATAACATGAGTCAGTGACTGACGTTGCTTCTGCACCCACCGCTAGATCACGTGACCAGTCTTGTCAGGTACCTTGCCGAGCATGCGCCGTGTGATTAACACCTTAACCTTGAGGTGAGGGTTGTATCGAAGTCAGTTCAGTCAAGTGTTTCAACGTGTTCTAAGTTAGTTTCCAACGTCTACTGTCAGTCTTTAGCAATATGTCAGTGAGTCTCACAAGCAGTGAGAGTGATAATGAAACAGCTCCCAAGAAGAGGAGGAGGAATGAAGAGAAGTTTCGAAGAAACGTGATTAGAACATCTAAAGTTCGTGGGGTTGAACACATCAACTGGAAAGGGCATCTCATCCCATCTCGATCAACAGGTGCTGCTTGTAAGTGTAAATTACAATGCTTTACTAACTTTAGCGATGATGAAAAATCTGAATTTGTTGCTAATTTGAATCAGTTCCAATCAAAAGATGAGCAAGATATTTTCTTACAACAACTGATCGAAAAACACGCCATTAAGCACCGTAGGCCTCGTTCTGAACAGCCTAGAGAAACAGCAGCTAGTTTCAAATATTTCTTACTATACAGAGGAGAAAGGAAAAACGTATGTAAAAAAGCGTTTATTTCATTGTACGGCATTACTGAGGGCAGAGTTCGAAGGCTTACTGATCTCCTGATTAAGGGGAAATCACCTCATGATAAACGCGGTAAAAATCCCAAGAAGAACACAATTTCTGCCGAAGTTTGTTCTAAAATACATGAACATATTTCATCATTCCCAACAAAGACTACACACTATGGCACCAAAGATATCAGTTATCTTGATGCCCGCCTTGATGTAAAAAAAATGCATTCCTTGTTTAAAGAAAAGTACCCTGATTTGGATGTAAAATATGAGTTTTATCTTAATTATTTTCATGACAACTTTTCGTTAAGGTTTGGACGTCCGCAGGTAGATACCTGCATAAAATGTGAAGAATGTGATGTAAAAATCAAGAGCTCCTCTCTTGGTGATGCAGCTAAAAGGGCTGCTCGTGCAGAGCTTACTGTTCACAAAAGGAGAGCCAAGAAATTTTACAATAAACTTCAAAAGGTCACAAAGTTGTGTGCGGAACATGAAGACACCGTTGCACTTTCATTTGATTTCATGCAAAATCTCCCCCTTCCAGCGATCCCAGTTCAGGATATTTTTTACTTGAGGCAACTTTGGGTGAACTGTTTTGGAATAAAAAATCTAAAAACTGGGAAATCTGAAATATTCCTGTACCACGAAGGCGTAGCCCATAAAGGAGCAAATGATATATGCAGCATGCTACTGAAATACATTGACACTAATATTCCATCAAGTGTAAAAAAACTGTACCTTTTTTCTGATGGTACCTGCGGACAGAATCGAAATCACACCATGATAAGATTCTGCCTTGCTCTTACAGATACAGGACGTTTTGAACAAATTTTCCATTACTTTCCGGTTCGAGGGCATTCATATCTTCCAAACGATCGAGATTTTGGTACTATGAAGAGGATGATACGTAAACATGATCGGATATACACACCTGATGAATATGAAGAATTGTGTGCTCAGTCCAGTAACAACTTTCACATCACCAAGCTACTCACCAGTGACATAAAAGATTTTGATGGTTGGTGGAAGGAATATTACACAAAAAACCCACTAGCCAGAGAAAGCCGAGGGAGGAGTGTGCCAAAAGAAGCAAAATTCAAGTTTGCTCCCACCCGATATAAAGAGTTCCGCTATAACTCTGAAGAAAAGGGGGTAATCACAGCATACATTTTCATTGAAGGATTACAAAAGCACAGCTATCAGCTGCTGAGACCTGCTTTCCGTAACGTCGATATTGATTTTCCTTCAAGTATTGCAGCCTACCCATCAGGGAAAGTTCCAATCAACATAAAGAAAATGAAAGACATCCAGAAAATGATTGTTCATATTCCTGAAAACTTCAAAGTTTTTTATGATGAACTATTTACCTGGCCAACCACTGAACATGACAATGATACTATCGTCGAGAATGATCTATTTTAAGAGCGTTTCAGTTTGTTATATTCCTGTCTTATGACTTTGCAATACTGTAACTTCATTTCGCATGTAATATGGAAAAATATACATTTGTAAATTTTTTGTGAAATTAATTAAAATTAATATTATTAACTAAAATCGTAACAAAATTAATAACAAATACAAACTTTTAACGAATGGTTATCTTTTTCCAAGTTTCCTACTGTCTGTAAAAACAGTTGAGTGCAGAAACAGCATTAGTCAAAATCATAGTTTTAATTCTCCTGAGCCTCATTTATGTGGAAATTGGGTAATTTTTTTATAACAGCAACATAAAAGCATGTTATGACAAAGGAAAAAAAAGTTCTCAAATATTTTAAAATTTGGAGGAGTTATTACGTTTTTTCTCCCTCCTGAAAAATTTGAAATTTGTGACTGACGTTGTTTCTGCACTCACCGATTCATTTAGAGAAGGCCCTAGGCAAAAGCCTCACAGGCCTATGATGAATTTGGCACTAAGTATTACACTTTTGCATACATATACACTAGATTATTTCAAAAGACAGTGACCTATTTATGTTGTTCTTGTAAATACTTGATACTGTAAAGATTTTGTTATTCATCATATTGTAATTTTATCATATTGTAATTTTTGGTAGCATCTTGCACACTTGATAAATAAATATGAATCACATAAATATCTATAAAATATTTGTACAATCATTGGACATGATGATAACTGGGTATGTGCATGAAGGCCCTGTATAGAATGCCTCAATCCTGCCTACACTATACAGATGCACACTGCTCAAGTGTGTTAGCATTGGGTGCAATCGCATGTGGCACACAATCATCCCTAATAATGATCCATGGAGCCATAACAGTTCCGTGATGTGTTTGTGACATAGTTCAACTATTTGTGTTGCTACTCATGGCAAGCCTCAGAGAAGTCATTTTTCAAAAGGACTATGCTGAGCTGTGGAAACTCAGGACAACTCGTTCAAGGTGTGCGAATTTTTATGACAATGAGTGTGACAAATTAAGTTTATGATGCACACCCTTCTAGTTTCATGTAGACGAGCTTATTACATTAGAGAAGAAAACATTAAAAATTGCATTGTGAGCAAAAGAAATTATACAAAACAGGCTAAATGTCTTATCTAATGTTTGAAACAAAATTACCAAGATTACTCCCATTGAGATATATTCATAGAAAAATTGTCCTTCTGTGAAACTGACAGAATTTTTCATTTGTTCAAGTAGAGTTTTTCTAACAATGTAAACATACAAACAATTACATTTCTTTTGTCCATATTTTTTTAATATTTTAGTTTTATCGTCTGAAAATCACAATTGTTTAATAATGATTTATTTTATTAGCTTTAATTAATGGAATTATAAGTGACTGAAAGGGTCCAGAATAAAGTATACCAATTGAAAAAAAGAAAAATAATTTTTTCAATTAAGAATAACATTCAAATATTTTTAAATTAACAATCAAACATTTTAACATTGAAATAAGGTAAAATTCATTGATGGTTTATGTTAAATTAAACGATCCATAATACTGATTAAATTATAGAAATGTTCTTTTAAATTTACAACCGATATTTAACGTTAAAATTATAAATTTCTTCAACAAATGCTGATAAATCCTTTTCCTAAAAATGCATGTGCAACTAAAAACCTGTTCCGAAGTTTAAAAACATGAAGAAACTTAGCTTTAAATAAGGTAGAAAAACTTGGTTAGACAACTTTGAAATATACAAATTCTGCAGATTGGTAGAGTAACATACTGGGGGTTTCTAATAAAAAAGTGTTAATTGAGTCAAAATAATGTAAGTTTCATTATATAACATCACTACGAATACTTTTTTTTTCATAATATCTATTTCACAAATCATTTTTTTTAAAAAGACAAAAACAAGGAAAATATTTTACATAGATTGTACAAAAAAAATTCTTTAAACAGTGTCATCAGGCTCTCTACTTCTAAAGAAATTTAATTGGTTTATAAGATAAGCTTTTAGATATCAGAGCAAAATTTGCTAAAGTAGTGCCTTTTCTTAACTGGAATCTAGATCACTCATCTATTTTTTCATGCTAATGCAGGAAATGCAACTTTAAGAGCTAAATATCTCAGGAAGTTGTGAGCCAATTTTCATTAAATTTTATATACTTAACTAAAATGTTCATCTCGTAATTTATTCACAATAAAATATTTATCAAGAATGTCAAGCCATGTTCGACAGTTGAAAAATTTAAAGCTTATTTATACTTTCAAAAAAGGTAAATGTGTAATTAATGAATAACAACTAAAATAATTAGAAATTAACTTAAAATTACTTAAGACATTTTAATGCAATACTATGACAATGCTTTAGTATTCACTGATATACACATTGCTTTTAAAAATCGAAAAAAAAAAATGCCATAAAATAAATGTTACTCAAAATTGACATACTTTTAAACTAAAATATATGGACAAAGGTCACTGGAAACTTTCCATATTTTTTAAATTTCTTAAGAAAGACTGCACAGATTGTTCTCTAATTTTAAAGTAAAAAAATTAAACAGTAAAACTGACTGATTTTTAACAAATAGTGTCAATTTTATTTTCTATCCCAATAACCCTCTAAGCTCCTGGGCAAAATTATATTGAAATTTCTCTGCTACAATTACATTCCTATAGATAAACATAAGGGAAACCGGAATTTTAATGCAGGAACACACACAGCTTAAAATGTTGAAGAATGCTTAGAAGCTCAAAATTTAGGGTTAAAGGAGAAATAAGCTTATGTAAATAATATTTTCATGGAAATATTTTTCATACTACCAAAAATGACTTAATCCTCACACCAGCACATTTTTGTCTAATCAATGATTTACCTATAGAGTCTACTAAAGTTTAAATATGAATGTGGCATTAAGAATGTGAAGGTGAGTCTGTAGCTTTTGTTAACTCATTGATTACTCTGAGAAATATGTGAGTTAGAAAACTGATTTAAAAAATAACCGGTATAAAATAATCACAGAACTTCTTGAATTGTAATAAAAATATTTATTTAACTTAGAAGTATCACAGGAGAGCTGCATAAATAACAGTCAATTTTCCCAAGCATTAAGAGACTTAATAATTTTTTACAATATTTTTTACTCAAAACATGAAAATGGCACAGCAATTTAAAAAATAACTTTTTACTGATCTAAACGTGCGGATTTAATATACCTGTATTAAAGAAATTTTATATTCAATGAATTATAAAGAAACAAATTATAAAATTTCTATGGAAACAAAGAAAGTAAAGTAAATTACTTAATAGTGAAACTGAGTAAAAATTAAGAAAAAAAAAGTATTTTTTTTTGTTAATTAGCTTATTATGTTCATTGTACTTGATAAGTTGATCATACAAAATAGTTTTGCTATCATCAGCCATTAGTAAATAGTTTTTAATTGGGCAGCTGATTTTTAGTATCAAGAAAATTTTTTGGGAAAATATAACCTGAATCTTTCATTGGCAGTGAAACAAATTCAGCTGAATTAAGCACCTATATTTTTAGCTTTAATAGAATAGAAAACTTATTTCCCTTTAATTTATTTTTTAGTGGCATATTAAAAAAACAAAACAGCTGACATTCTGACACCAAAAATACATTTTTCAATATTCGGGAAAACCAGGCATTGGAAATTGGGATGCAAATGCTTCAACATCTGTACGAAGTAGTTTCATTTTTTCCATTATTTCTTGATCAGTTTCTAAAAATGCTTTGAACTCTTTCACAGTTTTACCTGAGTTATGAAAAAAAAATAGTAAAGTACAACTTTCAATGAAGAAGTATATAATAGAAAGCACAGCAAATAAAAAGATGTGAACATGATTTTGAAACACCTATTTACAAAAGTTCAAAAATGTTTTAATAACGATCAAACACTTCTAATTAACGCAAATTAGAATTTTAGCATTTCTTTTTTCCTACTGACACTCTTTTTCATGATATTCTAAATTAGTTTCAATGTAATGATTAAAAGTTCATTTTTTTTTATGAAATCTTAGGAAGGAATTTGAAAAACATTTTAAAACTATTTTTTTTTATGCAGAAAAATATAGTTTATACTCTTAATAGTATCCTCTTAAAATATTTAAGATATTTTAAATTCCACTGAAAATTTGCAATCACAGGACTTTAAAGTTTATGTTTCAAAGTTATTATTACATTACTGAAAAGTTTAACAAAAGTCAAAAAGTTTTCAAACTTCCAGCAGCATTAAAGAACATAACTTATGAGCACCTGAAAACATTTTTCTCATTTCTCAACAAAATAAATCAAAGTAAATTTTCAGAATTATTTTATTTTACAAAATTATCTTTATAAATAGTGCATAAACAGTATTAAGAGCTAATACTATGTACTGAATTATCAATTTAATTTGAAATGAAAAATTCCCAATTGAAATTCTGAAATAATTTTATTTATGAAACAATGCAAAATTATTTTAATAAGTAAAAAATTATTTATATTTATTGAAAAAAAAATCAGAAAAACAAAGATATCTTAGAATAATTTAACAAATGAGTTTATAAAGTGTTTACCGAATTATGATGTATTAATTTATAAGTAAAATTTACTTTACAAATTCAATTTGTAGTATACCAAATTTATCATTTTTTGTCTTATATTCAAGTATTTTCTAAAGAAGTATTAAATATTTAAGTTCCAGAACTTTAGGAATTTATATAGAAAATAAAATTTTTCACTTAAGGTATTACTTAGAGATCAAAATTTTATTTTTTGTATAAAAAAGTTTGTATGATTTTGAAAATATTGTGCAGATTTTTACAAAAAATTAAATATTTTATTTAATTTCTCTAAAATATTATAAAAAATTACAATATTCTTGAAAAATTATTTCAGAAATAGAAAAAAGAAACTTAAAGAGTACAATTATCTCAAATCAAAGAAAATGAATTGTTACTCATAAATTAGAAGACTTTTGAAAATAATTTTTTCATTAAGTCATGCTCACTATATCTCTGTCAGTAGAGTAGAATGATGTTTTACCTGCTTTTGGTTTTGCTTCTAATGCTATTAGAACAGCTCTATGTATAAACTCAACAACTTGTTCAAAATCTTTTTCTTTGAAGTTGCGTGATGTTAATGCAGGGGCACCTAAATTTTTTGTTTCATTATTATTAAAAAAGAGAGATAAAAAAGCATTCAACAATATTGAACTCAAAATTTTAAAGTTTGTTTTAGAAATTGTTAAAATAGAGTACACATAAAAAACAAAATATCGTAATTAGGAAATATATTCAATGCTGGGGTTGCTTGAATACAACTGAAGTCAGTTAGAAGTGAGTTTGAATTCAATTTAAAAACAAAGTTATTTATACTGCATTCTGCAAAAATAAAGTAGAACACATAGCACATATGAAACAAACAAGCAAAAATAGATGTTTGCTTTTGGTGTTAAGTAGAGCACCATCAACAAATTAAAGATATAGGAAAAAAACTTATTTTTTTTTAGAATAGCAATACTAAGAATGATTTGAATCAATGTTATTAAGTCTCTTAACAAATCTTTGAAAATAATCAATCTAAAAACCTTCTGTCATATAGAACTTTTATAATAAGAAAAAAATACTGTTTTTAAGATAATTTGTTCTGTTCTGAAGGAACAAATTTCAAGTATCAGATTAGAAACTTACTGGTAACTTGTCCTACACATAAAAATAGTTAACAATTGCATTATTCAAATCAGAGAAAACACAAACTATTAAATTATTTCTCAAACTTTGTATGAACAATGAAGAGAATTGGTTAAATCGAATGTTCATAATCAATAATACAGATTTCACAAAGGAGACTCAACTTATCTCCCAAATTTATCTCTACTCAGGGGCAACAAATGAATAAAAAAAAAAAAAGAGTAAAAGACACTCAAAATATATCATATATTTAAATGAGCATACAGGCCATATATTCTAGTTATTTTGAAGCGGGTGTTGTTCTTGAAAGTGATGCTTTTCAAGAATTTGACACATTAAAAGAAACTTTATTGAATCATGATATATTCAAAACAAATGCAGTTCAAGTAAATATTTTAAAAACAAAAGACATATATACTAAGCTTAACATAATAGGAATATTTTTTTCATAGCAAAAAATTTAAAGATTGCTGAAGCTTAATTTTATTAAAAAAGAATATGAGAAAAGTTTCCCTTAAAATCAGAACTATCCATGAGTTCTTTAATTCCAGGTGATGCTTTTATATTAATATAAGCAAGAAAATATTTTTATGATATTTAATAAAATGAGAATCACCTAATCTAATTCCTCCAGGAACAAGAGCTGATTTATCTCCAGGACAAGTATTTTTATTGGCAGTGATATTTGTTGCATTCATAACACATTCCAACCTTGCACCATCAAGGCCTTTGGGCCTTAGATCGAGAAGTAACAAGTGATTATCAGTTCCTCCTAAAATTAATTTGTAATTATATTACAATAATAATGTAAAATTCAATATCTAAGAAATAAATTACACATTTTAAGAGATTTGAATCTTATATACCTCACCTCATATTTTGTAATTCAAATAGAACTTATCTCTTAAAAACGATAAATGAAAATTTTTTATAAAAATGACTTGTACTAACAGTAAAATTGCAAAATTCTATAAAACAGTTTAGACATTTTTAATGCATATTTTTCTAAATAGAATTCATAGAAAGAAATTTTTTAAACTGCTGCTGTTACTTGTAATCTTACCAAATTTCTTTTTTCCTTCAGCTAGGAACTTATTATTTTTCAAATGTATATAATATATGTATTTAAATGTACTTGAATTAGAAGTATTTTTCAGACATAACCAGCATCATACAACAAAATAATGTTTTGAGATGGTCATAAGCCCCAAAATAAGAAAACCAATTACATCTTTTAGGAAGCAATTACGAAAGCCCTTATGAGAAATTTTAGACTAAAATGAGTAAACATACATCAGGTGTGGAATTGCATGAAGAAATGGATAAACTGTCTATTATATCTTGACTTATCTTCAGATTACTGCTGTTACCACAACTTTTAAATTTCATTAAAAAAAGAAATAAAAAAATGATTTTTGCTTTTATGATTTACTAGGCTTTCGCAGTGTTTTCAAAGGCACTACATTCAAGGGTTTTTTAAAATTACTAAATGTAGTACAATTCACAGGTATAAGGGTATTGTGGGAACTTTTCGAGGAATCATACTCTTGCACCAATTATTACTATGTGAGAATAAGTCACTTTTAATAGAAGTGTGGAATTTAGCTGTGTTGTTATCATTTCTTCCCCATTACAAGTGGATTTATTTTCATTTTCATACAAGAGGACCTTTAGTCAAGAAAAGAAAATTTTCACAATAGCAGGAGAGTGTTTGCGGAGAACAACCAACTGTATAGTCATATCTCTAGACAAACATAAAGCAATAAAGAAATGTTTAAAAAAATTTAATGTTTTGCTTACTAAATATATTTAGCATGCTTATTTCAAATACAATTCACATTTATTTTTGGAGATTTAGTATAGTAAATTTAAGAAATATTTCATTACAGAGTTAAAGATCTTTTTTTTCATTCCTGGAATTTTTTTCGGAATTGCATTCCTTTTTTTTTACAGTTTAAAATCCAAAGAAAGGATAAATCAAAGAACTTGACACGTGATGAATCCACAAGTAATTTTATGAATTCACTAAAAATAATAAAATAAAAAAAATTGCGCAAAATATTTTTTAAGTGCATTTTTAGTGATGTTCAAAGTGTTTCTTTGGAGTGTTTGGCTGAACCTTTCTTTATTGACGATGGTTATCATTGCTTCAGCTATGTTCCAATACATATCTTTGATTAGAACAAAATGGTATCCACTTAGAAGACCATGAGAATGTAAAATATCATTTTGAGAAATAAATTATGTATAGACAAGATATACATATTCTTAAGAAATAGTTTTAAAATATGTCAAAAGTAGCAAAATTCCTGCGTTAAGGACATTTTTACAAAACTACTTATGTTTTTTTTAAATTTTTTTTCTCTCTTTTGTCTAATTAAACTTCACTTTCATACTCTATTTTATAATCGAGCTTTCACTTTTTCGTTTTTTATTTGCACTTGACTCAAGAATTTAATTTTTCACTTTATCTTCCCCAATATCACTTTAAGAAACAGTGTTCTATAGACATATTAACAGTCCAAGTTACATCTATGTTTTCCGAATCAATTAAAACTCTTGGTCCTTTGGGCTCTAGCAGACAAATATCTAGATCTTCCAAATCTGAATCAGGAAATGTTTCTAACAAGGCCATTATTTGTTGTATTGTTATACATGTCTTAGACATTGTGCTAACAGCAAGATAAATTTGCAAATGAGAAAAAAAAGACACTTTTCTTTAACTAACAGGGTAACAAGTTATCAGAGAAGGAAAATAAATCTCAAGAATTAGAAATTAAGAAGCACTGATAGCAAGAATATACATAATACCAGTGTTGGGACACATTGAAAAACTTCTTTGATCCTAAAATTAATCTCTTTCATTATCTGATAACACAAAAAAATATCATAGCCTTATGGAAGCCATCATCTTATCACAAAGAATTTCTTTTGAATAGCTAGAATTTCAATAAAAGAAAAAAACACTGAGTATTAAACAGTGCATACCCTGCATTACTTTCCAAGTATTTCGTCATTATCACTCTATTATCAGCTACCTACACATTCATATCAAAAGAAATTGAACCTAAATGCCTACATCACTTTTTTTTTTTTTTTTGT